TCAGTTCTCAAAAGAACAAGACACACTGAGCTTTATGATCATCATAGATTGAAAACCGGGGTTTTCCTTTGTTTCTCCTAAAGTGTTGAAACCCTTGGGTTCATAATAAATTTGAGGAAGAGGAAGTGAGCATGAAAATGCCTGACCCAAATTTCTTGAGAGTTTTGGGTAGTAGTAGGACTTGAAAAGATGTACTATGAGGAACACAAATGAAGAAGTGTAGCTCTTAGTATATTTCAAGGTTAGAGAGAAGATGGTAGAGGGTTTGTGACAGCCCCTGAGGCAGACTGCTCCAAGTGAGATGTCTGTCCTCTATGGTGAAAGGGGTCATAGCAGAAGTTGAAGGATTGATTTATTTTAAAGTCTTTGAGTCATGTAACCACACTGAAATGTCTAGCATGATAACAATTGCATGGCAAGGCTTTTGTTGTGATCTGAATGTATGTGCCATCCTAAGTCCTTCTCAAAATCCTAACCTCCAAGGTGTTGGTATTAGAAAGAATAAAATTTCGGAGGTGATTATTGTGGGAAATGGTAGAATTCAGCTATCTAGTTGTAAGAATAGATCACAAGAAATTTGTTAACTAAGAGAATTAAGTCGTTTCTGGGAAATTCCACAAGTCCGTTTGTTAAAAGAATGTCAGAAAACTTTGAGACCTTGTAAAAGTCTCACAGGAGAAAAACAGTTTTCCTAGTTTTCTTGTTTACCATTTTCTGGGATCAGAGGACCACGACCCAATGACTCTATGGGTGGTAAGAGAGATACGACTCACTATGCACATCTGTGATGTTTATGGTGGGCCAGTGGGCTTGATTTTTGCCTAAAGTCATCCTGCTCTCTTGATACTATCTGATAAGAAGAGGGCTGTGGTGTGCTCTCTGATGTACAGGATTGGTTAACGGAAACAGGGGACTCGTGAATTCTCCTGTAGTTTTTATGAGTCACTTAAAGTCACTGGTTATCATCAGAGGTGACAATCAGAAGGGCAATAGCCAGAATAACTAAGCTGCTTTCCTACATGTATAAAAGCCTTGCTTCTTTCCTTTGTGATTGTCTAATAGTGCCAGAGGAATTAAACTGCTGTTTGTCTCCCAGGCTGTCTCCTTTTCTTTCTTTAAAAGTCAGTGCTTTCCAGGGTTCCAGGTCTCCCTCAAGAGAGACCTTTATTAAAATAAAAATCAACAATTATGTCATAAGGGTAGAGCCTCTGTGAATGGAATTAGTGCCCTTATAAAAGAACTCTCAGATAGACTCCTTGTTTCTCCCAACTTTCAAGGAGACAGGGAGACATTTCCATCTATGAACCAGGAAATTGGCCCACACCAGACTGTATCTGCCAGTACCTTAATCTCACTTGGAGCCTTCAGAACAGCTGGCTGTGAAAATAAACTTGTTGTTTCTGTGTTATTTGGCTTATGGAATTTTGTTAAAGAGCCAAAGTGAACTAAGACAGCATTCTTAAAATGCCCCAAGCCACCAAGTCCTTGACTGCCTGATTCCAGAGACTGGTATACTGGTGGCTTGATGCTGTGGGTACTCTGGCAGATTGAGAAGTGGCTTTCTGAAACTAAGAGGGAGAAGCTCTGTAATGGACCTCAGAGGTTCATCATGGGCAGTGAATGTGGGAGGCTTCAAGGGGCAAGGATAACAGAGCAGGATACCATTTTCTATAATGTAGCTAACAGTCTTGATCTTATCTGAGATACATTCAACATTATAATTTGGATCTGGAATATCCCCCAAAGGCCTGCATATTAAAAGCTCATTCCTCAGCATGATGCTAGTGGGAGGTTGTGGGGGCTTTTTGAGGCAGGGCCTAGTAAGAGGTCACTGGGGTGTGCCCTCCAGGGAGGGGGTTGTGTGGTGCTAGTCTCTTCTCTCTTTCTGGTTTGGTCTGTTGCCATGATGTGAGAAGCTTCTCCACCAGGCACTCCCTGCTATGATGTGCTGGTTCCCACAGGACCACAAACAACAGGACCAACTGACCATAGGCTTATTAGCTCCAAAACAATGAGCCAAAATAAAACTTTCTTCTTTCTAAGTTGATCATCTTAAGTATTTTGTTACATTAACAGAAAGTTGACTAAAACATCCAAAATCTTCTAGAAATAACTGCATAAGAGTTTGAGAGATTTAGTTATAAAATGAAGATAATGAAAATTTAGGGTTAAGACAGATTACGTATGTTACACACAAGTGGCATGGATGCTTTAGTTGTATTTCTACTTCATGGCTAAGGAAACATCTAAAGTTATGGGGCTTGTCTGAGTTCATCCTAATCCTTTATGATGAAACTAAAATTTAAATTGTGACATCTAGACTTTAGGTTCACTATTACTTCATTATAACTTCACCACCTTTTACCCAAATTTAGGGAGTTTTAAAGTCTCAAATAGAATACCTCTTAGGAAATGCCTCATAAGTAGAAGTATAACCACAAATACTTTGAGATCTCTTAAAAACCCATGGGCTGTACCTATTTTAATATATGCTGGCATAGCTTGAACATTTTTAACCAAAATGGCTTGTTTACAATTTAACAAAGAAGCAAAAATGGAATGGAATGTCAGAAGAGAAAGACTTGTTTGTAGAAACATAATTGTAATGATCATAAATGTCACAGCATAAATAAGGTGCAAAGCAGGAAATATAAATTTTCTAACACTTTGAAAGGTGAGCTGTGGTGAGGAGTATGCAAATCCAGATTCATTGTCAGCCAGCAAAAGGGAATCACCATCATTCCTCTCTCCTAGGGCACCTGGATGTGGCTCAGTCAAGGAGCAAATGCCTTCTCTTCATATTGAGTGACTGGTTTTTCCTGTAAGTTTACTTGGTTTTTGTCTCTTCCTGATTCTGAATAAACATGCTTTTTGGGGCCCCAGAGGGACCCCGTGTCATGCTGATGATGTTGAAGTGGCCACTTGTGTCCTTCCTCCTCCTCCTCCCCCTTCCATGGACCTCCATCAAGCAAGGTATTCAAGCAGAGCATGAAACTCTTATTTTGTACCTGAAAGCACTTTAAACAGGGTTCTGCCTTTAAGGAGTGCTTTTGAATTTATAACATTGGTCAGTTTCCTAAAAGGAGAAGAACTCAACTAACAACCTATCCACCAGGATGTTGTACAAGAGGAAGCAGCCTTTCATGTTTCAGGTGGTTGTTGCCAAGATATATTCCATCCATGTACATTCATAAACCATATTCAATCCCATATTGCAGAAAGTAAGGCTGGAAGCATCATTTGTATACAGGCTCAATCTACTCTCTTAATTACTGAAGCCTGCCATTATTTAGACTGATGAAAGACAAAGCACTGTGTTGCCCATGCAGACAGTCTATGACAACACAGATGCTTCAATAATTAAGTTACTTTAGTTTGGATTCAATATGGATAATCAACATGGGATATTATGCAAAATACAAACAACAGGAAGAATGAAAATAAGAGTTCCATTCAGAAGACTTAACATTTCTGGATCTCAGTCTCTGAAATCCACAGAAGTCTAATGACTGACACTTACTGGTACTAAGCACTCATTGGATGCTTGCTGAATGAATAAATGAATGTATTAGTGGGTGAATGGATGACTGAATACAACAATGATTACTCTCCTGAATTCTAGAATTTTTGTAAGGGTAAACTAGGAGTTGTATACGCACTAGGAAAAATATATTTATTTTCAGATAGACTTAGGTTTAGATTCTGCTCCTGGCATTTGTAATCTGACATTTGGAGCAAGGACACTTAACCTTTGGACATGGCCTACCAAGATCAGTTCTCAATAAGGGAGCACTATCACATGTGGAAAGAGCAGTGTGTAATACAAGGGGTTTTTTTCTTACATTTTTCCTCTGGCATATTTTTAATTTGATAAATGTTTCTCTACAGTTCTAGCAATTCATATTCTACACTATCTTTGTCAAGGGACAGAGAAATAATGTATTTCATGCTATCAATATTTTGTTCCCCCCAAGCTCAAAAGTGAAATATTCCAAAAACTCATAAGATAATAGCTAGGATGTGTAGTTGTGAGACCAAAGTAACTCCATTTTGCTTATGTGAGACCAGAATGACTCCATTTTGCCCAAAATGGAGAGTCTCCTTAGTCCTCTCACATTAATGATTAAAATGTGCTTGATCTAGGACAAAAGACACAATCTGTAACACAAGGTTCCTAAGTTTATTACTCAGCCATCTGTTTACCCAGGAAATGAACATCCTGGGCCCACTATCTGTAGGAACAATCTGTCAATGAGCTAACTGTCAGTACTGGCTGGTCGTGACCATTAGTCACCGTGTCTGCTGATCATCAATACCTGACAGTCACCCACTAACCTTTGTCCTTCTTTTCTTTTGTAAAACCTATACGTAATCACCCCTTACCCCCAATGAGTTCAGCCAATCAGAAATATACACTTCATTCTTGCTAAATGTTAACCAATCATGTGATTTCTGGGTGAAAAATCTCCAAACCTTGCTGTAACCTCTATAAAAACCCCGCTAATTTGGAACTCGGGGCTCTCAATCTCTATCCGCTGTGTCAGTGACAATTGAGAGTCCCTGCTTAAGCTTGAATAAACGACCCTCATGTGCTTACATCGGAAACGGCTTCCTGGTGGTCTTTGGGACTTCCTAATCTGGGCACAACATTTGGGGGCTCGTCTAGGATCCCGAGACCCTCAGGATCTCCATACTGGAGGTCAAAGCTGGCTGGTGAGTGTGTTTTTTTGTGTTTGTAAAGTCTCGGCCCATTTTCTGGGAAGGTCGGCAGACGGTCTAGGCGGATGCGCTGCGAGGGCTGCCGACCCGGGATCCTGGAAGACATTCTGGATCCCACAGGGGGGGACGGAGAGCCCCATGAGTACGAGTCTGTGAGACTCCTGGGGGGATGGTGCGGGTCGCTCCCGCGGCATGGCATGAGACCGTTGTCCCATTTTCATTGCCTCTGATCAGGTGGAGGATGGTTTTGTCTTGCCTTGTGTTTTTCTGTTGTGTTTGTTTGTCTGTTTATTGTGTTGACTTGGACTGAGACGATGGGACAGACTTCTACTACCCCTCTTTCCCTCACGAAGGACCACTTCAAAGAAATTAAGGAGCACGCTCATAACCTAAGTTTAGAAATTAAAAAGACTAAGTTCATCACCCTCTGTAGCTCAGAGTGGCCCACCCTTGGGGTAGGATGGCCCCCTGAGGGAACTTTTGATTTACAGGTTGTACGCAGGGTTCGTAAAACCATCCTTCATCCTCACCAGGTTCCCTACATTGCCACTTGGGAGAGTTCAATCTGTAACCCACCCCCATGGGTTAAGCTCTTTTTGCCTCCACAGAAACAACAGCCAAAGGTAATCCTGACAGCCTGTGAAAAGACTCCCAAAGGGCGCGACAACAAAAGGCAAACCGAAATCAAGCCAATCATGCCACTTTACCCGGTCCTCCAAGGAGGGACTGAAGAAGATCTTATTTTCCCTCCCCCTTACTCTCTCTCTCTTCCCCCACAACAGCAGGTTGAAAGACATGACCCGGCCCCAGCTGGGGCTGGGGAAGGAGGGCCGGCCCTGGGTGCTGGCAACCATGATGGCCCTGCCCAGAATACTCGCCACCAGTGTGCCGCCTCACCGGCAGGCCTGACAGACTCTACTGTTTGTCTGCTGTGAGTGATAGGGCCCCCTGACGAACATGGTAACCAGCCTCACCATTACTGGCCCTTTGCCACCAGTGATCTTTATAACTGGCACCGTCAACACACCAACTTCTCTGATAACCCTAGAGATTTGATTAACCTGTTAGAAACTGTTTTGTTCACTCATCAGCCCACTTGGGATGACTGTCAACAGCTCCTTCAGGTTCTGTTCACCACCGAGGAAGGAGAGAGGATCCAGAATGAGGCCAGGAAATTGGTTCCTGGTGACAGTGGTCAACCCACCACCAATGCTGACACTATCAACACTTCTTTTCCTCTGTCCCGACCCAACTGGGACTTCAACATGGCAGAAGGTAAGGAGAGGCTTCAGGTCTATTGCCAGGCTCTGCTGGGAGGTCTCAAAGCAGCGGCGTGGAAGCCCACCAATTTGGCTAAGGTAGGGGATGTGCAACAAAAGTTAGATGAAAGCCCTGCTGCTTTCTTAGAAAGAATTCAGGAAGCCTTCTGTAGGTATACTCCTATGGACCCAGAAGCAATTGAGACAGAGGCAGCTGTAAGACATTAAGAGAAAGTTACAGAAAATAGATAGGTTAGGAGAGAAAAGTATTCAGGACTTAGTGACAGTGGCGGAGAAAGTGTATAACAATAGAGAAACCACAGAGGAGAAAAGGGAAAGAGCTGATGACCGCCAGACCTGAAACTTAGCTTGGATTCTTCTGGCTGTCACTGTGGGAGAACAAAAGGAACATGAACGTAGACTAAGAAAGATTGTGGTGGAAGGAGAAGGCAAGGGGAGATGCAGGGAGTGTCCCCAGTTAGGGAAAAATCAATGTGCTCATTGCAAAGAAGAAGGCCACTGGGCCAAGGAGTGCCCCAAAAAGAAACAACAGGAGGGTCACCCCAAGGCCCCCATCCTGGCTGTGGGTGAACTAAGTGACTAGGGGGGATGGGGTTCAGTACCCCTCCCTGAGCCCAGGGTAACCCTAAAAGTGGAGGGGAAACCTGTCAAGTTCCTAGTGGATACAGGAGCCCAACATTCAGTCCTACTTGAACCATATGGCCATGTTTCTGATAAAACCTCCTGGGTTCAAGGAGCTACAGGCATGAAAAAGTATTCATGGACTACCTGAAGAACAGTGGACTTGGGAGTGGGCCGGGTAACTCACTCATTCATGATTATACCAGACTGCCCCTATCCCTTATTGGGAAGAGACTTGCTCACTAAATTAGGAGCCCAAATTCATTTTCAACCCAGAGGCACAGAAGTCCTTAATCAGGAGGGAAAGCCCATCCAGGTGTTAACCATAAGCTTAGAAGATGAATATCTGCTACATCAGAAAGGGGCCCCTCCTGATCCTGACATGGAACAATGGCTCGCCATGTTCCTGCAAGCATGGGCAGAGACTGGGGGCATGGGACTGGCTGCACACAGAGCACCAGTGTTTGTAGAGATAAAACTGGGAGCAGACCCTGTGTGGGTCCGCCAATACTCTATGCCCCTAGAGGCCCATAAGGGAATAACTCCACACATCAGAAGGTTGCTCGTTCAGGGGATTCTAAGGCCTTGTCAATCAGCCTGGAACACCCCCTTGTTGCTGGTGCAGAAACCTCATTCAAATGACTATTGGCCAGTGCAGGACCTCTGTGAGGTAAACAAGAGGGTTATGGATATCCACCCTATGGTGCCTAATCCATACACCCTTCTGAGTTCACTCCCCCCAAGCCATCAATGATACACAGTCTTGGATCTCAAAGATGCCTTCTTTAGCCTTCCGCTGGCACCCAAAAGCCAACACATCTTTGCATTTGAATGAAGTGACCCGGAACAAGGCCTCAACGGACAGCTGACATGGACCCGATTACCTCAAGGGTTCAAGAATTCTCCCACCATCTTTGATGAGGCCCTACATGAAGACCTGGGTGAGTTTCGCCTCCAAAACCCCCAATTGACTCTGTTACAATATGTAGATGATCTCCTCATAGCAGCTGAGATGTGGGAAAACTGCCTAAATGGAACCAAGAAACTCTTGACGGTCATAGGGGAACTGGGGTACTGGGCATCCACCAAAAAGGCCCAGATCTGCAAACCCGAGGTAAGCTACTTGGAGTATATGCTTAAAGAGGGGCAAAGATGGCTGTTGGATGCTAGAAAAGAGACAGTTCTTAAAATACCCAAGCCAGATTCCCCTCGGAAAGTTAGAGAGTTCTTGGGATCGGCTGGCTTCTGCCGCTTATGGATACTGGGGTTCGCGGAGCTCGCGAGGTCTCTTTATGACGCAACTAAAGACAATCAGGCCCATCAATGGACAGAAAAACTACAAAAGTCCTTCAACCAAGTTAAGACAGCCTTGTTGTTGGCACCGGCCTTGGGCTTGCCCGATTTTACTAAGCCCTTCCACCTTTACATTGATGAAAACAAAGGAGTTGCCAAGGGCATCCTAGTCCAGTATCTAGGGCCATGGTGCCGCCCAGTGGCGTACCTGTCAAAAAGACTCAATCCAATTGCGTCAGGATGGCCCCCATGTTTAAGAATGATTGCTGCAGTGGCCCTGATGGTCAAAGATGCTGACAAGTTAACATTGGGCCAAGAACTGTATGTAACCACCCCTCACGCTATTGAGGGAGTCCTGAAACAGCCTCCAGATCGATGGCTCAGTAACGCCCACCTGACCCACTACCAGAGCTTACTCCTAAATCCAGCCCGAGTTGTTTTTCAGAACCCAGCTGCCTTAAACCCGGCCACATTGTTGCCAGACCCGGACTTAGAGGCTCCACTTCATGACTGTGCAGACATCCTGGCTCAGGTGCATGGGACTCGAGCTGATCTGAGAGACCAACTGTGGCCAGATGCTGACAATACCTGGTACACTGATGGGAGCTTTGTCCAGGATGGCCGCAGGTATGCTGGGGCAGCTGTGGTGACAGAGACTGAGGTCATTTGGGCGAAACCATTGCCCACCGGGACCTCAGCACAATGGGCGGAGCTCATAGCTCTGGCCAAAGCATTAACTCTAGGACAGGGCCAAAAGTTAAACGTATATACAGACAGCCGGTATGCCTTTGTTACCGCACACATCCATGGGGCCATCTACAGGGAAAGGGGGCTACTGACAGCTGAAGGAAAGACTATTAAAAACAAAGAAGAGATCCTTGCCCTCTTAACGGCCCTCTGGCTACCTAAAAAATTGGCCATTATCCATTGCCCAGGACACCAAAAAGATGACACTCCAATTGCCAGAGGAAATAACCTAGCTGACCAAACGGCCCGAAAAATAGCCCTAAAGATTAATCTGGCACTAGCCACTCAGCTGCCCGATCCAGGAAGTGCTGCCTTGCCAGAAAAACCCCAGTACACTGAAAAAGATTTAAAATGGATAAAACAATTGCCTATGCCTCAGTGCCTCAACGGGTGGTGGAAATCTTCTGATTGTAAAGTCATCCTGCCTGAAACACTGGGAGAACAAGTTCTCTCCAAAATGCACCAGGCCACCCATATGGGCACTCAAAAAATGCAAGACCTCCTGAGACATGCTGAAATAAAGATTCGAGATGCTAATTCCAAAATTGAACGTATTGTTGCCACCTGCAAAGCCTGTCAATTGACAAATGCCACCCACAATAAAGCCAACCCAGGCAATAGGCTGAGAGGGAACCAACCTGGCACATATTGGGAATTGGACTTCACCGAGGTAAAACCTGCAAGATATGGTTATAAGTACCTACTAGTTTTTATAGACACTTTTTCAGGATGGACAGAAGCTTTTCCTACCAAACATGAAACAGCATGGAGTGTGACCAAGAAACTGCTAGAAGACATCCTGCCAAGGTATGGTTTCCCAGTAATGTTAGGATCAGACAATGGACCTGCCTTCATTTCCAAGGTGAGTCAAACTTTAGCACAGATATTGGGGACAGATTGGAAATTACATTGTGCATATAGACCCCAAAGTTCAGGACAAGTAGAGAGGATGAATAGAACTTTAAAGGAGACCTTAACTAAATTAACCTTAGAGACTGGTGGTGACTGGGTGACTCTCCTTCCCTTTGCCCTCTATAGGGTACACAATTCACCCTATAAGATGGGACTAACTCCCTTTGAGGTTATGTTTGGAATTCCCCCTCCCATTGTTCCCAATGTTCAGTAGAATGTGCTTGTTGAATTTGATGACCAAATTTGTTACTTTCTTTGAAAATCCTCCAATATGTACATGAGGATGTCTGGCCTAAATTAAAAGCCCTATACGAGACTGGACCACCTCCTGAGCCCCATCGCTATTGACCAGGAGACTGGGTCTTTGTCCGGAGACATGGACAGAAAGACCTCGAGCCTCGTTGGAAAGGACCCTACGTCACAATCCTAACCACGCCCACCGCTCTCAAGGTCAACGGGATTGTCTCGTGGGTGCACTACACCCACGTCCGCCCCGCAGATCCACACGCTGTCCTAGAGGACTTCGTTACATCATGGCAGGTGTCCAAGGACCAAGACAATCCTCTCAAACTCAAACTGTGTCGTCATTGGTCATAACTATGGTAGCTATACTTTTAACACCAGTGTCGGGGAGACAAAGCCCACATACTCCCCTTAATTTAACTTGGATGATTATTAGTACATCCACGGGCAACATTGTTAACAGTTCATCTAAAGTAGCTCCACCACTAACCTGGTGCCCTACCCTAGACTTTGATTTGTGCCTACTGGCAGCAGAAACCTGTGATATCGGAAACTGGGAAATTGGACATGGGGGAAAACCTAAATGTAAATCAAACAACCGATGTGATAGGATGGCGCCCAACCTGGTTCCCTCCACCCAGACCGCGACTCTACCCCAAGTCCCTGGATGTAGTCATTCCACTCAGAGAGGTGTTTTACAAAGCACCCCCTTCTATGTTTGCCCGGGAGAAGGACGTTCATGAACTCAGACAAGAAATTGCGGGGGAGCTAGTGACTTCTATTGTGCAAAATGGGGATGTGAGTCCACAGGCACCATCTCCTGGGCCCCGCCTGTCAAAGATGATTTAATTTCTTTGAAAAGAGTCCTTGGGCCCCCCGGCCTTCAAATGAGCCAAGGAAAAGGTAACTTCATGGTCCTTAGCAGCCCCTGTACAGAGTTCCTCTGTAACACAGTCAGACTTTCGTTCACAGATTCAGGCAAAAAGTATACTAGATGGGAAACAGGCCGGACCTGAGGACTCTGCCTGTATCAAGATGGTTATGATAGTGGGTTATTATTCACTATAAGACTAAAAATAGAACCACATGTCATGGGCCCCCCTCAGCCAGTTGGACCGAATTTGGCACTAGTCCCCTTAGCCCCTCCTAGACCCACCAAGCCCTCTCCTCAGAAAACCTCGCCCACGCCCCCAAGAGAGACTGCCTCCTTAAGGATGGCAGAATGGGCCTCTACACCCACGTTTCAGCTCCCAACTTGGACTGTCACCCAGACCAAAAGAGTCAGTCACTACCAAAGCCAAGATCCCTTTTGGGGATGATGGTCCATACCTTTAAGGCCCTAAATGCCTCCAGACCAGATCTTACTCAGTCTTGCTGGCTATGTTATGATGTCAAACCCCCTTACTATGAAGCAATAGCTTACCTAGACAATTACACTGAATCAGATAGTCCAACCCAATGTAGATGGCAACAAAGGGGAACAGCTAGGCTGACCCTA